TATATATATATATATATAATTTGATCTGACACATCCAGCAGAACGAAGTAGCGTTTCATTCTTTTCGGCTGCATAATGTAGCATTGGTAACGATTGGAGTGCAACAATCCTATTCATCATTTGAAAACATTCCTTAAAATAATTATATATGTCATCTCTCATAATTATGCCTGAAAAGCGCATCGAAAATAGATATATGCGTAAAAAAACTCACACTAAAAGGGGAGCTACTTCGCTTGATAATTAGTAAAGATAGATTGAAGATATCCTAAAGATTTTTCTTTAATAAAATGGAGATCAAACATCTATTTTTCATTTATAAGAAATCAATATTTTCTAAAAGTACTAGTCTAGCTCTATGATTAATTATATCTTAGATGTAATATACGTGAAAGATATTTAGCTCACATTCTTAATTCCATATAAAGGATGCATAGACAGAAGACAGTAGCCCTAACATATGAAAGCTATTTCTCAAATGATAATTAATGTCAATAGAGTGATATAGAATTTGTTGTATTCTCTTGCTAGTGATGAAAGCCTAAGGAAGGGACAAGCCCAAAGGGTGCACTATTGTCTCACTACCCTAGAATAGATTGCCTAAATACAAGTGAGGAAGGGGCTTATACATCTCTACAGATGATGCAAAATGGTAAAAATCTTACTATCCATTAGGATTATTTTTTCTAAGAATATGATAAAAACTCTATATTAACTAAAAAGATGGGATTTGTTAATAGGCAAGATGGTTCGACATGCTAATGAGAGTTTCATGCCTATAATAAAATAATGCATTGATAAGCAATATTTGTTCATTGCTCCATGTTTATGATTCATGTCACATAATTTACTCTATAATAGCAAATTCGCCATGTAGCTTTGAGGAGTTTGATCTTTTTTTCTATATCATAAATAGTGCAAGCATTCAATTTTATAATTATGTTGAAAAAAACTAAGGGGTTGTTTGGCAACAAGTAGGAATTAATTTGAATAGGATTTACTAAATTTTGTAAATATGGATTTAGTAAATTATGCTAAAGTTAAATCATGAAAATTATTTGGTAACGTAAGAGTTAAATCCTATGAAGTCTGGCGCTAGTTGATGGCCGGGTAGAATTCTTGCATCAGTTCGTGGCCGAGCAGAAATCTGGCGTCCATCGCTAGCCTGGCGAAAGTCAGTGGCCGGTCTGAAGTCCGATAGTGGTTGAGGAGTCTAGTGGCAGGAGAACTCTTCCTTCTCTACTTTCTTGGGTCCCTTCTTCCTCCCCTCAATGAAGAATGAGGGGTCTATTTATAATTTTTGAGAGTGACATGGCCAATAAATAGGAAGATCAAGAGTGAATTGGGATAGGTTTAAATGGATATGTGATATTGAATCCCTTGATCATGAACCATTTATTGGCATTTGAATGTCTTAATGATATCATAATTCTACAATCTTGGGCTAGTTGAATTCAACTTGTTGAGCTGCTCAATTCGACTATAAGCATATCACATTTGGAAATTGTTTAGTAATCCAAATTATTATTTGAACCTTCCAAATGCGCTTCAAGTCTTTAATTTAGACTCATTTGAGCTCGAATTGAGTCAAATCTGGTGCCATTGAGTTCATATTTTCGAGACGTTCAAATCAACTATAAATTTTCTAAATTCGGAGTTCATATGGTCTCCGACTTGATTTTATCTTGAGATTCATGCCCCAATCAAGATAGTTTTCAGATGATATATCAATAAGTATGCTAAATATTGCATGTAATATTGATATAGCATATACTATTATTCATATAACATGTAGTAACTTAATTTTAAATATTATAATATCATTTTTTTTTTTTGCTTTTAAAAACTTTATTTAGTGCATTTATACTAATATAATAAAGGCCACGAAAACAGGCAAAACACTTTTAGTCCTAATCCATCAAAAAATCAAATATTTCAAATTCATTTATCATTAAATTTGTGGATATTTCAATGCACAATACGATGATGAAAGATGTAACCTATGATGGCTTTCATATAGATACAACAACAAAGAGAATTTGAATCGGCAGACGACGACAACAACAAGAAAAACACAAAACTTATCAAACATTTTCTTTTAAATAAACCCTAACAATCTAAATCCAACAAAAATTGTCTACTTAAAGAGAATTTGAATCGGCATCCATTTTTCCTGCATCCAAAAATTCTAGATCATCTTAGCAACTTCTAAGATTATTTTCCAAGCTTCAACATGATTCAACTATTTTTACATCAAAGAAGGCAAATATTGGCAATAGTAATATGCCCCCTCACTTGCAGGATTGCTAATAGCGAACATTTTAGATCACTGACAATACATGGAAAGTGCGTTGTCACCTACTTTTAGGCTTAGTTTAGGACGGCTTTCTTACTGCTTCTTAAAGCAGCTTTTTAGTATAAAATTTTAACTTTTATACTAAAAAGCTGCTTTAAAATTCAATAAAAAAAAGTCGTCCCAAACGAAACCCTACACTCTCAGAAGCACCAAATTCCTACTCCCCGGAACTCAATCAGCATAACACTACATAGCTAGAAGAAACAACAAAAGCTCTAAAATGAGAAGCACAGCAGCTGATATATCTTACAATGACTATTACCTTGAAAATTGATATGGAAATCAGGTTGCCATGACTGCGACCCTCTTGGTGTGTCCCTGCAGCATTTGCCTGAGCTTCTGGTACCCATCACGATAATGGTCCAGAGAGAAGCACAGCTGCCTTATAGCCTCCCTCTTCCCCTCTGCACCATCTAAGATGATAACTTTTTGCCTTTCCACGTCCTCCTCAAGCTCCCTCACTCGTTTCATCAGCACCACAGAGTTCTTCCTTCCTTCCTCAATTTCTTTTATAAGATTTACATGCTCGATATGCAACTGATGCAGGTGATCCGCCATACTACGAAGATTGTCATCCCTGCATTTTGTATCATCCATGAGCCTGCTCACTCTACAATTGAGCTCATCTTTCTCTGATGTAAGCATGTCGATTTTCAGCTTAGATCCATCCAGGCTTTGATTCAGTTCATCAATGCGTTTTGCACTCACATTCAATGCTTCCATCTTCTCCAGTTCTAAATCTCTTATCCGATCTTCCAAAGCTTGAAGCTTAGATGCGTAGATAATCTTCGAGTCCATTAGGCTGGAAACCTTAGATTCCAGTATAGATTTCTCTTGTAGAAGCTTTTCAGAAGATTCTGTTGACATTACCTTCAATTCCTTAATCACTTGCTCCTGCTTCAAAATTATAATTTCAAGGCTAGAATTCTTCTCTGAAAGTTGCTTGGCCTCCAGTTTAAGATCAGCTATGCTTCTTTTGAGCTCAGCTTCAAGAGTAGAATTTTGCAGCATGAATTTGTTCATTGCTTCATCAAGCTGTGTTTTGTACTCCTCAATGGTGTGATCCTTCATGGAAATTTCACCCTCAAATTGCTTGACAGCAGCTTCCATTGCTTCCTTAAGACACTTTATTTCACCTTTATGATTTGATATCTCTGCTTCTAAAACTACCGTTCTATCCTCAGATTCAGGATGCAGCTCAAATTCTGCTTGTAAAGCTTGTAGTTTGGATTCATGGATGTTTACAGAGTCCATCAAGCTGCAGACTTTAGATTCCAGCAAATTCTTCTCATGAAGAAGCTTTTCAACAGATTCAGTTGACATAACCTTCAATTCCTTAATCTTCTGCTCCAGCACCAAAATTCTGATTTCAAGAGTCGATTTTTCCAGCATGAATTTGTTTATTGTTGCATCAAGCTGTGTTTTGTACTCCTCAATTCTATGCTCTTTAACTGAAATTTCAGCCTCATATTGCTTAGCAGCGGCCTCCATTGCTTCCTTGAGACGCTTTATTTCACCTTTATGATTTGATATCTCTGCTTCTAAAGCAGCCCTTTTATCCTCTGATTCAGAAAGCCTCTCACTTTCTACTTGTACAGCATCTAAAGCTCGAAGCTTGGATGCAAGGATTTTCTCCGATTCCATCAGGCTGCAAACTTTAGATTCCAGTATAGACTTCTCATGTAAAGACTTTTCAGAAGATTCAGCCAACATGACCTTCAAATCATTGATCATTTGCTCCTGCTCCAAAATTCTAATTTCAAGGCTAGATTTTTTCTCTGAAAGTTGTTTAGCCTCCAGTTCAAGACCAGCTATGCTGCTTTTGAGCTCACCTTCAAGAGTCGATTTTTCCTGGATGAATTTGCTCATTGCTGCATCAAGCTGCGTTTTGTACTCCTCAATGGTATGATCCTTGAGTGAAATTTCAGCCTCAAATTGCTTAGCAGCTGCCTCCATTGCTTCCTTCAGAGACTTTATTTCAGATTTATGGTTACATATCTCCGTTTCTGAAACGGGCGTTTTGTCCATTGATTCAGGATGGAGCTTAGCCTCCACTTCTACAACTGCTGGAATTTCATCCTTCGCGTCATGAACGCACTGGCCATTGGAACCTTTCTCATAATCCTTAAGCTTCTCCCTAACTTCACGAAGCTGGTCTTCTAATTGAATTATACGAGCATTGAGACCAGAAGTGTTCTCAAATGCATCCACAATCTTTCCATCCTCAGATTCAGAACCAGAATCTGATGATGATGCGGATGATGAATCATCAGATCCCTTTCGAGAAAAATCGGAGCTGGTCGTGGAGCCAAGGAAGACATCAAAGCCAGCAGCTCTCCTTAACGGCTTGGGAAGTTTCTGCTTGCGCTCTGGAGTTTGATCAGGAGACAAAGAAAAGGATGGCGAAGCTGGTTCTGTACCAAAGTCAGAACAATTGCCAGAACCCTGAGATTGGAGATCAGAGGGGATATTCTTGCGCAGTTCGCCAGTTAAAATATCATAGCGCTCAGCAAGCGCGCGATACATACGATAAAAATCCTCAACACGAGAGATCAGCTCAGGACGCCGTCGATAGTACATTTCAGCCTTTTTGGCAAAAGTATCCCCTTCTTCTTCAATCAGTTTCAGCATTTCCTTTACTAAGCGATCCATCTCTGCAATGCAGGTTTAAATTCATTAACATAATGAAAAGAAAAATAGCGAAGGATAGAAGGAGATCGATGTTTACTTTCAAGATTTTCAGATAACCATTTGGAGTTTTTCGGACTGATATGACTGTCCCACCACCATGAGTGCGACTTCCTAGATGTCAATCTCTTCATTTTTGAAAAATGATTGTACAAATTTAGATCTCAAGCCTAACAAAATCAGGATTATTACTCTGCAAATGAAATGAAAGTGTCAGGTCAATTAAGGCTTAGTATCTGAATATAAATAACATCAATCATAGGTGACCAATTAGTAGTACCCTATATAGTTGAAACAGGAAAAAATTTAAAAATAAAGTTCCATAAAGGTTCAAGAAAATCAATTTTTTTTTCACTGCGCAAGTTAGGAGTTCAGTTAAATGGAAGCTCGGTGGATCAACTAGGGCTGTAACAGGAGCCGCTTAAAAAATCAGCGAGTTTGCACTGTTAAGGAAGTTAATTACATCGCTATGTATCTTGTACCAATGGCTAACTTACACGTGTACTCTATTATACTAGAATAGGTTATATATAGGCCTCGGCTGTTTGTATGAAGCAAGGAAAAACAATAATAAAAGTTTCAGTTTTCTCTTCTTCTTTCTCCATCTGCTACCGCTGTTCAAGAAGTCTCAACTTCTACATGCACAATAAAATGTTAAGACGAAGCCGTGGAAAATTAGCAAAAGTACTCATAATGATCATTACAGATGGAACAAGCTGCAAGTAGGAATGAAGAACGAGAAAGCTATAATAGATTTCATGAACAATTACAGGCACGTTGCTTGAGTATGGAAAATAATTTCATCAACATGAATGGATGGCATGAAACAAAACAAATCAAAGCTGCCTGAAACAGAGTTAGAAATAGCTGGTTCGAAAAGAGATAGAAGAGAGGCAGATTTCGTAAACAAAAATATGAGATTGAAAAGGAAAGTTATTTAGGAAATAGAGAATTTTCGGTAAGAAGAACTCCAAACAGAAAGTTTTAACGTTGTAAGACAAGAACTGAATCGAATCTGTCACCCAATCATCGGTAATAATAAACACTAATGAAGCTTTTTTACTAGGTACCAGAAGATGCTTCTGTGTGGAATTGGGAGAGAGTGAAAAAATTAACTAGTAAATAAGCTGAGATATGTATTAGGTTTGAAATGAAGGAGAGGTATCAGGTATAAGAAAAAAATAAATTTATAAAAAAAAAATCTAGTATAGGTAAATTATCAAGGCAAAAGCAGCAAGATGAAGAAGTACATGACGATCATCGTTATAAGAAATGACAGAAAAAGACAATTCAATCACCAAAAAAAATACTGTCACATTAAGAGTGGGTCAGACTCAGAATATGAACCCTTGATTTCTTACCGTTGCCCATCAGAATTCACAACTCCCAGTAGATTGTTTTGAATTTGAAGTCACATATCGAAAATAACGAAGCAAGAAGCTCGATCTTGGAGAAGGAAATTAAGGATAGGGTCCTAGGGAAGCTCTAGAAATTCAGGTATTTAGGTCTTCAAATAAGAAATTGTTCAAGGAAACCAGTACGTTCAGGGCAAAAGAATTATATTTGCAGATCATAAAAGAAAATTTTATAATAAGTGGATGATATTTAATCGAAATATAAAATAATTAAAATTATAAAACGTTCAAATTTAGTATTTATAAAATAATGATTTTGGGTATTCAGTATTCACTTGTAGTTAAAAAATTTTTATTACATTATTTTATAATATATATCAAAGAATTTTTATATATTTGTATATATGATACCTAATTTTTTATATTTATGCATATCTCACCCTAGTATTTAAATCATGCTAAAATATCTGTATGAGAAGATAAATTTTATTTTATATAAATTAATATTAATGATATTTTTTATGTGATTTTGAGATTAGTATTATATAAACAAAAAGCAAGCTCAAGTGCACATAAAATGTGTCATATTTATTCTATTATTCATGCAGCCACAAAAAAAATAGAAGCCCTTGATCTAAGGTCCTATAATTGATAAAAATTTATTTTTTGTTCATTAATTAAAAAATTATTTATATTCAAACTTCAAATAATCCGATTCCAAACAATTAAATTAGATTCATTGTTTTATTGATCAAATAAAAAACAGTTATAACAAGATATTATTCATGAAAAGGCTGTACATTATCACCAAGATATTTAAAAAGAAAACTACATGAATGCGCATTACTGTAAGATGGAACAGAAGAAGCTTTAAAAAATGTAACCACGACAATTTACTAGTAAGATCAGAGAATCAAGGTAGGTCAGATCAGATCTCATGAGAAAAAAGTAGGTTTAAACTTTAACCTTCAAAAGTTCTAGAATACCAAGCTTCTGTTAGCTTTCACAAGAGACAAATAAGCAGATATGAGATATGAATCTCTGTGGAAGATATGTAGGTCTCAATTGGAGGCAGTTACTTTGCTGTTTTTTATGATAAAAACCCAAAAAGAAATATCTATTTACATGAAAATAAAATTTTGTTTTTATATAATTTACTAATTTTTTTAAAAAAATAAACTTCAAAATTTTCTGATAGTAAAAAAAAAAGCATAAACTCATAGCCAAAAAAAAGGGTAAACTAAGAAAACAAATAATGCTTCATGAGAGCGATTTCCCAATAACCAGAGTTATAACGAATGGTTAGAACACCTACCCATTATAAAAATCAGTCAGACGCATTTATTGGAATCCATCTGCCAACTATATTTTAAAGGAGTCATGAGAATGGCACTAATCGTTTAGTATAAGCCATTCAATCAAATAACTCCCAAATCTGCATTGTTTATTAAGTTGACTGAACTTCGCTTATGATTAAAAATTCGTAAGTACACGTCTACTTTCGAATCCCTCTAATTACTCCGTCTATCTGATCTGAAAAAGACGAATGCTCTGTATGTGGACGAAAATTTCAACATATGCTTGCAGAAGACCACAGTGATAGCAATGAAGATTTCGTTTGGAATGACTTTCTTAGAGCTTCTTCTTAAAACAGTTTTTTAATTTTTATATAAAAAAGTTATTTTAAGACGCAGTAAGAAAAGTGTCCCAAACAAAGCCTAAATTTGATGCTTCTCTAAGAACTTAATTTGATTGAGCACAAATTTTATCATAATTTGGTTGACTAGTTCAGAAGGAAGGACAGTAGTCGGCGGGCAACGAAGGTTGGAAGGACCGTTGTCCGGTGATGAAAGTCAGAAGGACCGTAGTCAGCGGGCGGAGGAGGTCAGAAAGACAGTAGTCGATGGGTGACGGAGGTAATAAAGGTCATTGCCTGGCGAAAGTGGTCAGAAGGACCATAGTCGATGGACAACGGAGGTCAAAAGGACTGTAGTCGGATGATAGTTGTCAGAAGGACCATAGTCGAGTTGTGGAGGTTACGAGGACCATTGTTGGGCGACGGTGGTCGGAATGTCCGTATTCGGTGGGAAGGATTGTATCCGGCAGACTGGCGGAAGTCCGGCGATAGTCTGCGGACTGGTAGAAGTCTGTCAATGATCATGAAGAACTCCGGCAGTGGTCGGCGGACGAGCGGAAGTATGGCGATTGTCGGCAGATGAGCGGATGTCTGGCAGTGGTCGGTAGACGGGCGGAAATTTGGCGATGGTAGGCGGATTGGCGGAAGTCCGACGGTGGCCGGAAAGAACTTCGGCGGTGGTCTACGGCGAGTAAGCTCCATAATTCTTCCCTCTCTTCCCCCTTCTCCACCTTTCTTCCTCATGAGAAGAATGGGGGTTATTTATTGTTTTTTAAGAGCGGCAGGCATGACTTGTAAATATGTGGTGGATCGAGGTCAAAATGGGAGTGGTTTGAATGGACGGTCGATATCAATCCACTTGATTGTCGATCGCTTATCGATCATTTGTATGTCATAATGATATCAGAATTTAGCGATCTTGGGCTCGTTTGATTCGTCTCGTCGAGCCGCTCGATTTGATTATAAGCATGTCATGTTTGAAAATCGTTTAGTAATCCAAATTATGGTTTGAACCTTCCAAATATGCTTTGGGTATTTGATTTAGAGTCCTTTGGGCTCGGATTCAATCAAATTTGGAGTCGATAGGTTTGTATTTTTGAGACTTTCAATTTAAACTAAGTTTGCTGAAATCGGGGTTTGGATAGTCCCCGATTTAATTTAAGAAGCTTTCAACTCAATTTTGCTTCAAGATTCGAGCCCGATCAAGATAAATTTTAGATAATATATCAATATTATTAAGGCACTTAAATGTCAAAAAATATTATATACTTGAGGGAAATAATTTCATTGGTTTGATGGCGTGTCGCTGGGGGGCGGGAGGTTAACCTCCTGTTTGGGTTCAGGTGCTTTGCACGAGAATTTTTTATTTCCGTACAACGCGCAGGCGTTGCGTACCTGAGCACCCATGCGCTATGTTCCGAAGCACCCTAGCACTGAACAACAAAGAGCAGAGCATCGCAGCGGTATAGATACGGTGCTGCAGCAGTGCGAGACAAACTGGACAGTTCTCTTTCTCAAATTTCTAAAGGGTTGCGTCCTTAGAGTTATTTTACTTGGCTTTCTATTGTATTTTGATAGTATAGATATTGAGAACGGTGTATGTGAGAAGAGAAGCAAGAAGAGAGAGGGAGATAAATATATCTCTACTTCTTTCTCTCAATTTTCATAATGGGCTTCTTGGTGTGGTGTGGCTCCATAATTTTTTTCCCCTATTTTGAGTTTTTCCATGTTAAATCCTGGTATTCTTTACTTTTCTACTATTTTTACTTTCTTGCTTGTTTCGTCATTGTGATGTTTAGTACTCAAATCTCTCCAACACACTTGATGTCATTAAGCTTATCTTCACTACCAGGGTCTTTCCGACCATCAACATACTCCAATATAAGAAGAACAACTTAGCAAATCATCAATCATCTATTAATGATAAATCTAGAATCTTAAAGATTCTCCTACTACTACCATGAAAGTCATCTTTCACAATGCATATGAATTAATTTATATGAATAATATATTTACTGGTTACAAGGAAAATGAAATAAATCTTTAGAAATTTTTCAGCCAAAAATTTGTGCGAATCCCCTCTCTTCTCTCATTTTCTGCCTCTCTCTCTTCCAATTTTCTGCCTCTCTCTCTTCCAAGAAGAGCAAGAAGCTCTTTCTTCCTCAACAAATCCTAACAGATCGGTATCAGAGCTAGGTAAGGGTGAAGGAAGGTTCTTGTCTGAAGAAATAAAGAGAGGAGGCTGATATCGCAGGCCAGAGGTTGTGTAGGTCGATCAAATGAGCTAATAGGCGGAGAGGACAAGTTGGCAAGTCCCGTACCGGATCAGAGAGGAGCATGCACGCGGATCAAAGAAGAGAAAGCTCTGAATGGCCTGGTGCTGTGATCAAAAGCCGAAGGGCACGGGTTGCGGGAGAAGGGGGCGCGGGGCGTGGGCATGGAGCCAAGTCAGGCGCTATGCATGGTTTGCGCGAGGAAGGCGAGCCCTGGGCCAACATGTCACACCAACTCGATCAGAATATGTCCTTTCGTGTTGAGCAGGCAAATCCCAAAATCTAACTTTGGAATGTTTCAAATTTTCTTCCAATTTTTATTTTAAATAAACTATAAGCTACTAAAACATTCAAGTACTGAAAATAACTCATCCAAAAAGTTTATTTCATTTCTTTAAAATTAATATGCACTACTGTACATGGTTATACGCAAAAGCTATAGAACTGAATAATAATAAACTAGTCATGATTGTACAAAAATCAAAATAGAGAAATACCTATAAGCTCAGATCTGATCTTGAACTGTTAATCGATAGGTTCCTTCCGTTTTCAAGATCCTGAAAATTATAAAAAAATCATAGTGAGCTACAATAACTCAGCATACCACACAACTGATCTAAATTTCCAAATATTATTTTATTAAATATTTTTATTTAATATTTAAAAGCAGTTAAATGTAATCTAACAAATAAATATTTATATTTAGAAAGAAAAGAAAAGCATAGCATGTATCTAATTTATGTAAATAACAATACTGAGCAGATAAATAATAGAACAATTTATATCACAAAGCAGTTCACATCATATATCCTGGTCCTAGACAGAATCTTAAATAATTATGGCCCCTTATGTTTTCCTTTGGTGCTTATACTATCTAAACATGCTCATAGACACTAGAACATGACTTATTATCACCAGAATATATCTTATAGATACAAGAATAACCCTTGATATAAATAAAATCTCAAAAAATTCTGACCCCTTATAGCTCCCAATCCCAACAGATGTTTTTCAATCATATTAGCATATATTTCATCATCTTGTAATAATTAAAAAAAAAAATTAGCACATGTCAGAATTTCAGTCTTATAATAGTAGGTAACTGAACTTCCTACTGAGCAAATATTTACAATGTCAGAACAAAACCAAAATATAAAGTATTGTGTAAAACATTGTTTAAAGATATTCGTTGTACTACAAAATTATTTTTCGGTATCCAAATTATTTTATGTTCAATTAAAATCGCACAAATTCCAAATTACCCAATATAAAATTTTCATAACATACTCAAAATGCTCGTAATTATGATCTCTAGCATATAAAACTTACGGGTAAAATTTTTTTGTTGCAAAGTTATACACATTTTTTGCTAATGAAAATATAAATTTAATAAAAAAATTTGAAAAAAAAAATCATATTTTTTGAAACTGAGATAAGCATAATGTGACCTATCTTAATACGGACAGCTTTCATAGCTAGACTAACGGCTCAAAATGGCCTGAAGAGACTCAAAACGTGTTTTTTTCCTCTCCAAATATCTCTTTCTCTCCTTCTTAGCAGGCTGCTCAATTAAAAATGATCGAATTAATGGAATTAAAATATATTTAATGAGCTCATAATGGCCTAGCGCTATGTTACGCAGGCCCAGGAGGGGTCGGCTGGACCGGTCCAACCCGGACCGGTCCACTGCTATTCCAGGCGGAAAAAAACAGAGGGTGAGCGGGATTTAGAGGTGGGCCACGTTTGGTTCAGGTGATCTTAGGAGGGAAAATTTGAATGTTGGGGGCTGTTTTAGGAAGTTTATTATTGTCCTTTGTGTTTAATTAGGGGATTGGGGGGGAATTGAGGGCTCATCTTGAATTTTGAATGAAAGTTTGAGATATCTTGTTGTGCTTGGGCTCTAGGGATTGCTAGAGATTTGTGGAGAGTGGTTCTTCCTCTCGAATCGAAGAACGTTGTATCTTTCTCTATTTTCTTGCATCTACTAATGAAAATCTTGCTTCGCTTCTCTTATTTCCACTGTTTGGTGCAAATTTCTGCTGCGAGGGTGCTGTCAAACTGCTGGGACAGCAGTTTGTTCTTTGTTTTTGACCTATTCTTGACTAGGATTGCTTGAGAACTCAAGTATTACCTTAGGGTTACTTACGAACACAAGTATTTCCTATCAAATTGGTATCAGAGCATCGTCTTGGGACCATCGACAGCTGAAATTTTGAAATTTCAGCAAGGAATCGTCTTCCGCAAGAGGAATTCTCGACAACCGTGTGAGAAAAGATGGCCGGAATGAAGGTAGAAGTTATGGAGGGAGAAATCGGCCAACTGAAGACCAATTTGGAAGAAAGAACAACTGAATTTCAAAATCAATTCGCATCCATCCATGAAAAGATGGATGGGATGTTCACGGCCTTGGAGGAAATGATGAAGAAGATGTTGGAGGGCAAGCCAAACCCGACGACATCGGAAGCAAGGGAAGCCACCGGCGACAATGGGAGATACGGAAACCCGAACCCATTGAGAGGGAGGGGCACTACAGAAGTGGAGATCCTTGACGGGAATGACGGAATGCCTCCGCTAGAACCACTTTCTAGGGAGGAGATGAGCATGGGCTATGAGAGAAGAGGTGCTCAAATTTTTGGGAGAAGAGATGAGTTCTACCGTCGAGGTGCTGAAGATGAGAGGAGAAGGAAGAGTATGAGGAAGGACATGGGTACGATCGGCGGAGGGAAGGTCGTGACCACTGGGGAGTTTTTCCCCCTCGGGGAGCGGGGGGTTACAGAGGATTTAGGGGAAACGGTGGAGACCCGAGGGTGAGGAAATTGAAGATGCCCATCTTTGAGGGCGAGGGCACACATGGCTGGATCTACAAGGTGGAGCGATACTATGCGGTCAATGGGTTGACCGAGGAGGAGAAATTGACCGCGGCAGGACTGTGTTTGGAAGGGAAAGCATTAGCTTGGTACCAGTGGCGGGACATGAGGCGGCCCATTCGAAGCTGGAGGGAGTTCAAGGGCTGTCTGCTAGAGCGTTTCCAAACCAGTAGGGGAGGAGACTTCTACGAGCAGTTCTTTGCCCTGACACAGGAGGGGACGGTCGCCGAGTACCGCGACAGGTTTGAGTACCTCGCGAGCAGGCTGGATCGTCTCTCTGAGACCGTGTTGGAGGGGAACTTCATGAAGGGTCTTAAACCGGAGATCAGGGCAGCTGTCAGGGTGATGAGACCTCACGATTTGGGGGAAGCCATGGAGTTGGCGCAGCTGGTGGAGGATCAGAGGTATCTGGAGAAAGGGGCTCGTAGCAGTAGCTCTGGGGGAACCTACAAGATGACGACTACCTTCCTAGCTCCAAAAGGAGCTGCACCACTAGAGGACAGGAGGCGGCAATAGTGGGCAGTTCAAAAAGCTGACTGAGAAGGAGCTGCAAGAGAAGAGGGAAAAAGGGGTGTGCTTCAGGTGTGATGAGAAGTACATGCCGGGGCACAAGTGCAAGGACCGATCTCTTTAGGTTCTCCTCGTTTATGAAGATGAGGAAGACGAAGAGGGAGGTGGGAGTGACCCCGAGGGGGAGGAGGAGAAGCTGCACCTGGACGTAGCAGAAGTCTCTCTAAACTCAGTAATGGGATTCACTTCGAGTCACACTATGAAGGTGAAAGGAGAGATCTCTGACCGGGAGGTTGTGGTGTTGATAGATAGTGGGGCAACTCACAATTTCATCTCCACCCAGATTGTTGATGCAATGGGGATGGAGCTGGTGGACACGGGAGGTTACGGGGTAATGATGGGCACCGGGACTTAGTGGAGCTGCAACGCTTGGAGAGGGTTAGCATGGGGGAAGAAGGAGACATTCCACCGATGGTGCAACCACTCATACAACAATACAGGGAGGTGTTCCAGCCACCCCAGGGATTGCCACCACCCAGAGAGCAGGAGCATGCCATTCTTCTGAAAGAGGGAGTGTCACCGATCAGTGTTCGACCGTACCGTTACCCCCAGATTCAGAAGGATGAAATTGAGAAGCTGATCAAGGAGATGCTGGAAGCAGGGATCGTCAGACCCAGTGTGAGTCCTTTCTCCAGTCCAGTCTTACTGGTCAAAAGAAGGATGGGAGGAGGTTTTGCGTGGACTACAGAGCCCTGAACAAGGAGACAGTACCAGACAAATTTCCCATTCCTGTGATCGATGAGCTACTAGATGAGCTGCATGGAGCAGTTGTGTTTTCAAAGATGGACTTGAAATCGGGCTACCATCAAATCAGAATGAAGGAAGGGGACATTCCAAAGACAGCGTTCAGGACACATGAAGGGCATTATGAATTCCTAGTAATGCCCTTTGGGTTGACTAACGCTCCTGCAACCTTTCAATCATTGATGAATCGGGTATTCAAGCAGCACCTTAGGAAGTTTGTCCTGGTCTTTTTCGATGACATCCTGGTGTACAACAAGACTGTGGAGAAGCACTTGAAACATTTGAGAGTGGTATTGGAAGTGCTTCAGGAGCACCAGTTGAAAGCCCACCTGAAGAAGTGCAGTTTTGCTCAGGCAAGTATGGAATACTTGGGACATGTGGTATCTCAAGGAGTGGCAGCGGATCAAATTAAAATTGAGGCAATGCAGAAATGGCCGCTACCTAAGAACCTCGGGGAATTGAGGGGTTTTCTAGGATTGACTGGATACTACATGAAGTTTGTGAAGGGATACAATACCATTGCCTAGCCTTTGACTGAGCAGCTGAAGAAGGACAATTTTTGCTGGGGAGAGGCAGCCACCCAGGCATTCGAGAGGTTAAAGGAAGCCATGACGACTATTCCTGTTCTAGCTCTTCCAGACTTTGTTCAGGTTTTCGTAGTAGAGACCGACGCGTCAGGATATGGGTTAGGAGCAGTGTTGATGCAGAACCACAGGCTTGTAGCATACTTCAGTCAAGTGCTATCAACCAGGGCAAGACTGAAGTCAGTGTACGAGAGAGAGCTGATGGCGATTGTCTTGGCCATTCAGAAGTGGCGCACCTACCTTTTGGGGTGACATTTCATTGTCCGGACGGATCAGAGGAGTTTAAAGTATCTACTGGAGAAAAGGATGGTGACTGAGGAGTATCAGCGGTGGCTCTCCAAACTGTTGGGCTACGACTTCGAGATCCAATACAAGCCTGGTTTGGAAAATAAAGCAGCTGACGCCCTATCCAGATGTGTTGGGGAGCTCTAGGAGCTAGCTCTGTCAGTACCATTGATGGTCGATTGGGGGGCCATTAAGGAAGAAAGGAGGCTAGATGAAGAATTGGGGAAGATCAGGGAGGACCTGCAGAAAGACAAGGGTAGCCATCCGGGCTACTGCATTGAGGAAGAGAGATTATTGTATCAAAGAAGGTTTGTGATGCCACGAACTTCCGTACATATCCCCCACCTGTTGCAGGAGTTCCATGGCAGTGCAGTCGGAGGCCACTCAGGAGTTCAGAAAACCTACAGGAGGCTAGCAGCTGAGCTCTACTGGAAAGGAATGCACAAAGATGTGGAGGAGATGGTAGCAAGGTGTGAAGTGTGCCAGAGAAATAAATATATGGCAATGACTCCAGGAGGACTACTACAACCATTGACACTTCCAAACAAAGTTTGGGAGGAAGTGTCAATGGATTTCATAGACGGCTTACCCAGATCAGAATGATTCACGGTCGTCTTAGTAGTGGTGGACAGACTCAGCAAATATGCACACTTCATCCTTTTGCGACACCCCTACACTGCTGTGTCAATAGCAGCGGCATTTATCAGGGAAGTGGTGAGATTGCATGGGATTCCTGAATCGATTATGTCTGATCGAGACAAAGTGTTTCTCAGCCAGTTCTGGAGGGAACTGTTCAGGATGCAAGGCACTGTCCTAAAGAGAAGCACCGCCTACCATCCACAGACAGATGGGCAAACTGAGGTGGTAAACCGAAGCTTGGAGACCTATTTGAGGTGTTTTGTGTCTGAAATACCACGAATGTGGGCAAAGTGGCTGCCTTAGGCGGAGTATTGGTACAATACGTCGCACGATTCAGCGTCCCAGATGACCCCGTTTAGAGTGCTTTATGGTAGGGACCCCCCACACCTCGTGCACTATGGAAAGGGAAGTACACCGGTGTCTTCAATTGAGCAGTACTTGGATGAAAGGGATAAGGTGCTGGAAGAGTTAAAGAAACATTTGCTGAGAGCACAACAAATTATGAAGAAGCAGGCAGACTCACACTGGAGGGACATGCAATTTGAAGTGGGGGAGAAGGTATTCCTAAAACTACGACCCTATAGGCAGAGGACAGTAGCGAGAAGAAGAAATGAGAAGTTGGCACCGAGGTACTTCGGCCCCTACGAAGTGTTGAACAAGATCGGCACAGTGGCGTATCGATTGAAATTGCCCCCATCAGCCACCATACATCCAATTTTTCATGTATCCCAGTTGAGGAGAGCGATTGGAGAGCATGCAGTTAGTACGGAGTTACCAGTGACACTAACTGAGGAATTAGAAATGATATTAGAGCCGCTGGAGCTTGCAGGAGTAAGATCAGATAAAGATGGCAACAAAGAAGTGTTGATCAAGTGGAGGGGTCTGCCATATTTCGATGCTACATGGGAGCCATTTGAAATAGTGAAGGAGCAATTTCCCTCTTTTCACCTTGAGGACAAGGTGAGTTTTTGGGAGGGGGGTAATATTATGCCGACCCAGGAGGGGCCGGCTAGACCGGTCTAGCCCGGACCGGTCTAGCCCGGACCGGTCCACTGCTATTCCAGGCGGAAAAAAATAGAGGGGGAGCAGGATTTAGAGGTGGGCCATGTTTGGCTTAGGTGATCTTAGGAGGGAAAATTTGAATGTTGGGGGCTGTTTTAGGAAGTTTATTATTGTCCTTTGTGTTTTATAAGAGGATTGGGGGGGAATTGAGGGCTCATCTTGAATTTTGAATGAAAGTTTGAGATATCTTGTTGTGCTTGGGCTCTAGGGATTGCTAGAGATTTGTAGAGAGTGGTTCTTCCTCTCGAATTGAAGAATATTGTATTTTTCTCTATTTTCTTGCATCTACTAGTGAAAATCTTGCATCGTTTCTCTTATTTCCATTGTTTGGTGCAAAATTTCTGCTGCGAGGGTGCTGTCAAACTGCTGGGACACAGTTTGTTCTCTATGTTTGACCTAATCTTGACTAGGATTGCTTGAGAACTCAAGTATTACCTTAGGGTTACTTGGGAACACAAGTATTTCCTATCACGCTACTGCGCTAAAAATCTACAAAACCCGAGAGCACGGTGCTGTAATGTCACTATTTGTCACTTTGGCTGAGTGCAGCACCATTATGCTCGAACACCCAATGTCGCTACCCTTCAAAAGTACATTCTCATATTTTGCCGAAATTCACACAAAACTTTTGGGACTCATTCTAGAGCACACTTAATTATTTTCATGCATTAAAACACTCCCAAAGACATGCAAATGGTTGAAAAACTCAAAATTTTAAATCTTTACCTTTTTCAAATAGGGTCGGAACAGGTAGAACTAAATGTTGAACTTGGAGATGTCACACGGCAGGTGTGCCACACAGGATAGGAACCTGAAGCAAGTAGAGCTTGATTAATTGTTTTGGAGATGGGAGCAAGATACGAGGTCAGATTCATCCACAGCTCAGCATAAGTGGAGGATCATAAGGGAAGGCATTTCTTCTTGGGCTATTATTTGCAAACAACAGGTGGAGCAAAGGTGGAGCTGGACTAAGGCTTGAGAAGATGTCGAAGCAATTCTTGAGGATGGCGTTAATCATTCGATGGAGGCAATTGGCACGGATGACTGGCAGGGCTATTTTTTGTGGATAACAAATATCTTTTCCTTTTAAAAAAAAATCATACCAAGTTGGAGATAGCTATCTATTGGTCCGTTTTTAGGTAGATTGTATCTAAGGTGCATATATCTTATTTTAACCTATAAATAAGGGTGGCTTTGTAGTGTGTAATGGTGCCCAAAAGGAAATAGAAGTTCTTTTTTTTCTCTCTTCAAGAAAATCTTGTGTGCTTTCCATTTCTACCTCTCTCCCTCTACATTCAAGAAAGTGATCTTCCTCTTCAAGAATCCTAACAAATTTGTTATTTGAAAGCAAATTTTATAGTCATTGCTTGTGCCAAGTGCCACCTCCTACAAAGGTTTATTATATAAATAAAAACGAGTTTCAAATTTTGACTAATATAATAACCCCTAATTATAAATATAAAATTTAAAGGGGTGCTGCGAAAATAATGAGCTGAAAGTGAATTTTTTAAGCGTTAATTGAAGTTATTCAAAGGTAAGGAAAGAGCAAGAGGAAAGAGTGAGGTTGCACATGCCCCCACATGCCTTCCTTTGGCTCCACCAATGATTGAGATACAGGGAAAAATACTCCAA